CCCCGCCCTGCCACGCTGATTGTAAGGCCCGGGGGGCGCATTCCAGCCAGGGCTGCCGACTCTGTCCACTGCTCTCCCACTAGTCCTATGCCTAGAATCTCCCCCTTAGGAAGTCATTCTTTTCAGTTAGGGAATTCTCCTCCCCTGTTCAAATGTAACACTATGGCAAATGACTCTAAAATTTAGTTTTAAAAATCAAACCCTATTTTCTACCCAGGGGTATTTTTTACAACTGTGAGCTCTTCAAGGGAAGGAATGGGTTTTTTTGTTCTTATCATGTCCTTGCTGCCTGTCACAGGGCCTGGCATGGAGTAGGAGTTCAATAGATGTTTGTCAAATGACTGTGTGAATGTGTGAGAGCAGTCGCCTCACCAACCACTGGCCTGTCCCTGTAGAATCATAGCTCATTTGGGCAAGATGAGACCATCTACCACAGAGGTCACACACAAACTGATAGCATGTGGGCTGTATGGTTCATAAGCATTGTTTAATCTACATAATATCTTTTTAAAATTTGAATTATTTGCCAATATTTAAAAATTAGAAGGTTGCACATAAAATCCAGGTTCCCAGCTTGTGGCAGAGGCTGGCTAGTTTTCACCAAGCCCATATCCTCTTCTTCCCGGCACACAGCCTCCCTCGCAGTTGGCTGGAACGGTGTGATCACGTTCTAGCCTGTGGAATGCAGGCAGAAGTGATACACACCACTTCCTGCCTGGTCCCTCAAACCTCCCCCAACCCTCCACACTCTCCTCCCTGCCAGCTGGTCAGAGGCAGAAGATCCAGGCGAGGACTCCTAGGCCCTAGGAGATGGCAGAGCCACAAGACGAAAGGAGCAGGGCCCCTCTTTTGACCCATGTTGGACTATGGTAGGAACAGCAAATAAACCCCTCCGGTGGTAAGGCACTGCACTTTGGGGTTGTTGGTTACAGCAGCCTCCTGACTAACATGATTCTCTGAAAAAATCAGAAATCTGGCAACACTTTTGCACGTGGCAATGATGAGCCGGAATTTCATAGCTGCTGCCCCTTCAGCCTGGCGGGCATTTTCTAGCTCCCCTGACCCCTGACCTTACTCTGCCTGGCTCCTAGAGTTATTTGATGTTGCAGCTCCTCATCAAATTCAATCTGTCCCTCAAATATTTGGGGAAATTGAGGCACCGAGAGGACAGGGGACCAGCCTAAGTTCACAGTGTGTTGGGGGCAGAGCTGAAACGTGGAATCTCCTGTCTCCTACCCCAGGGTTCTTTCTGGGGATCTTTCTTTCTTGTGAGCAGAGAGATTTGATTAGGGAATGAGGAAAAGAGGGAGATGTTCAAAGTCTAGGGCCCTTTGAGATGATGGGGAAGCTAAGTGACCAAGAGGGAAAGAGACACTCCAGATGGCACAGGGGATGAAAGAGGAGGAAGGAAGCCACGACTTCTCGATGATTCCAATTTGCATAAGCCTTGGAGATGCCCAACAGGCAAAATAAGGCTCCCTCCCCCATGGGGTAGAGCTGCATGTCTGGTGTGGAAGCCTGACCCAAATCCCCGCTTCTCGCTCCATCTTGGGAAAGGGTCCACTTCCTCGATTGCTGAAGCTCCACTGACAAGAAGCAGGAACCAATTTTCCCTCCCAGACAATCAAATCCCGAAAGAAATGAATTTGCAAAATAACCTCATGTTGAGGCAGCTGTACCAGGAATGTCCGTGTGGGGGAAGGCTGGCAGGAGCTCTGTGAGGTGAGGAGAGGTGGGTTCCAGGTGACCGTGGCTATGTGGGGGGCTTCTCCTCTCCCCCTACCACAGCCACTGTAACTCCCTAACACCTTGAGCACCTGTCAGCCATGCATTTCCTGGAGTGCTCAGAGAAAACACGTCCCAACTGAGGAAACTTCCAGATTCCCCTCTGACACTTTTCTGCAGATGCTGCTGTGGAGATGTTGGTGGACGCCCAGGAGCTGCTGAGGGGCCGCGAATCCTTCTTTGACTCCACTATCTCATCTGCCCAGACGGGACCACTGCCTGGAACCCTGGCAGCTTTGTCAGAAACACAGCGTGTGCCCCATCCCCCACTGGGGACCAGCTGGTTCCCCCAGCTCAGACTGGGAAAGTCTCCTGGAGAATTGAGTTTGCAACTACCACCACTCAACCACCACCCCCACCAGCAACAGCATATTGAAAGGAACAGAGAGAAATCACTAAATTGGGAGTTGGTAGAGAAAGAAGAAAAGAGTGTCCCCTCAGCCTTCAAAGGCTGCTCAGAGCTGTCGGCACAGAAAGGCTCTGCTAGGAATGTTCTCGAACCCACAGGGGCCATGGGCACGAAAGCTCTGAGTCGTCCTCAGGAAGGGATTACACGGTGGTTACCGCAGATGTGCCTTAGACAATACTAAGAGCAAACCCTTACAGACGTCTACTAGCCTTACCTGTCCTCCTGAGAGCCAAGACATTCTGAACAAAATAATTTAAGTTTAGCACCAAAACTCATTTGTGGCAAAAACCTAACTTGAACAGATATGTGAATATTCACACATTATTCTCTGAAGAAATATTAATGTGTTTAATTATGGGATGCTACCCAGACCCCACTCATGAGTTATATAATATATGACGTGTGCTTTCCAAAACTCTCAAAATCCCAAAACTCTTGCGGGCCCTGAGACATAGGGTTTTAGATAAAGGACTGTAACCTGTATGCATTCTAAGTGCTTTACATCTACTAATTCACTTAATCCTTGCAATAACCCTATGGGGGAGAAATTATTATTATTATTCCCATTTTATAGATGAGGAAACCAAGGCACAGAGCGGTGAAGTGACTTGCTTCATAGCTGGTGAGTGTTGGAGCTGGGGTTTGGACCCAGGCACCCTGGTCCCAGAGCCCACTCTCTGACCAACTCCACCGTCTGCCTTACTAGGTGAGGTGGGGTGGGGTGGGGTGGTAGACCGCAGGAAATAACCATTTTAAGCTGCATGTGCAACAAGGACACACCCAGGAGGATATGTGAGGAGCGAACCTGCTGTTACAGGTGTTCTCATGGGGTGACCAACCATCCCGGTTTGCCCCGGAACTGTCCTGGTTTTACCACTGAAAGTCCAGCATCCCAGGAAACTCCTCAGTCCCACCAAACCGGGATGGTTGGTCCCCCTAGTTCTTGGGGACTCTGTGCCTCTTCTCTTATGAGCATCGTGAGCATCACAACCCACTGAGGGGGATTCTAGGGTCTGAAGATACATGTTGTTCATGTAACATGGCTTCTCAACCCAGATCAGGATCTCCTGCAGGCACCTAACCAAGACACGGGGAGGAAACCCTGGAGGAAGTGCAGGCTGTGTTAGAGGCAGTGTGTCTGTGTCCAACCCGGCACCTTCCTGAGGGGTTTGCAAGAACAAGGGCAACTCTGTCAGGCTGTTCTCTTGAGCACTGACTTTGGCCTCCACTGTAAACCGAGTGGGAGTATGCCTCTGGGGAAAGATCTGCTCTGATAGTCCAATTTAGAAAGGACTGGCTATCATCCCCAGCTTTGAATTTTAACTTGTTAAAACCCACACCTGACTTCTCAGGAAGGAGCCACACCAGGGACTCACAGGCACCTGCCAGAGGCCTGCCCAGTCCTGTCTGAGTGCCAAAAAGAGGGAGGCAAGGCCCCTGGGGCCGTGGAGACGGGAGAGAAACATGCCTGGGCTCAGAGAGGGAGAAAGAGAGTCCTGTGTGCTGAGGGTCCTGGGGCTCCTGGGGCTGGATGAGGAAGGAAGGGGCGGGATGTGAATGCCATATCACTCTCTATCAGAACAGAGGCTGGAGGCTGCCCATTAAACATGGCAGACTAAACACATTTATTTACCTCCACTGTTTTCTGAAATTCCAATAAAAGGACATAAAGGGAATATAAAAAAACGCACATCTATCCACTGGACAAAGAGACTACATGAGCAGATAAGAGGAGTCAACCAAATTCTGGAGGCTGGGAAACAGATGGTGAGTGGGGACTGACTTAAGAAACTCGAGAAGCTGAAACCTGACCGTTCGTGGGAAGCCATCAGGACACAAGACAATTTATAGATCCTCAGAAAGACTCAGGGATTGGATGGACAAGGAATCTCCAAAGACTGAGGTGCAGAGCAGAACTAAAAACAGAAGGGCTGTCCGTCTAGGGGACAATTGGACCTCTGGGTCTCCTCCTCCAGCTGGCACAGGCAGGACATGACCCCTCCCTGCCACAGCATGAGGCTCACTGGTGGGAGAGGCTGGAAGATGACAATCTGAGATAATGTTCACACGGGGCTCAGCACCAGGCCTGGGATGTAGCGGGTCCTTGGTAAGCTGTTATCATTATTATATTCAGCTGGCATCTTTCTGTCTCATTCTCTTATTTTCTTCTCTTGGTCAGAAAGAGGCTCGAATACATACGAGGCAGGAGCGATGAAGTGGACGGCAGATTCTGGCTGCCTGGTAACACCTACCCACACACACTCCTCTCTCACCAGGTTATTTAATGCGGCTGAAATGGCTAGTTGCCTTCCAATCTATTATCTTCCTCTCCTTTAGTAACAGAACCTCCCTTTTTAACTAGCTACCTTGCTTCCCAGCTACAAGACATTTCCCAGTCTCTTTTGCAATTACATGTGGCCATGTGACTATATAAGTGGAGGTGTGAGGAAATCAGGAAGTATCTTTAAAAGCAGAAGGCATTCTGCTCTCTGGACTGCTGATGTGATGGCCAGTGCTCTAGCAGCTAGACTGGGCAATGAGGATAAAGGTCATAGGCTACAGATGACAGAACAGAGACTTGGAAGGAGCCATCTTCATGGAGTTGCCATACAAGCCCTGCATTGCCCACCTTTGGACGTCTTTTACATGACAGAGAAATAAGCTTCTCTCTTGTTTTTGGCTACCATTATTTTAGGGTTTTCTGTTGTGTGCAACTGATCCTAATCCTGTCTGATAAATTCAAGTTGGGGACAACCCCCCCTTGTCCTCTTTCCTATTCAGAGATCCTAAAAGATCAGAATCAGCAGAGACTTTAGCTGTTATGGAGTCCACAGGGCCAGGGGCAAAATCTGACCCACAGATGTTTTCTTTAGCTCATACAAAGTTTTAAAAATTAGGAGATATTCGAACATGTTTTAAACATTAAAATTGAGGTTTCTGGCTGTTCTTGAATAATTGACAACACTGGATTCATGTTTCAGCATGGCAGCATTTAAATAGGGCATCTGCTCCTTCATTGCACTGACCCACTTCTATTATTCTCCTCTGAGGCTAGGCACATCTGTGTTATCCCATGAGCTAGGTATGTAGATGTATATATGTGTCTGTGAGCTAAGTATGTGTATATATATATGTTATCCTGTGAGCTAGGTATGCATATGGGTTATTCTATGAGCTTCATATTATGGTTATGCCCACTCAACAGATGGGGAATTCAAGGCTCAGAGAAGACTTGCCCAGAGTCACAGAAATGCATGTGGTAGAGCTCAAAGTCCAGACTCTCTGCATTCCATGCTTGCTCTGTCAGCATTTGAGTTTCAACCCTTGACTTTTAAACCCCTTGCTGGAAGTTTCACAGAGGAAGACAGTCGAGCCAAGGAGGAAGAAATACTTCATGACCCTTGTCATATGGTATCAAGTTGATGGCCTGTCTCCCCCGCTGCACTGCGAGCAAACCAACTAGAGAGTGAAGGGTTTTCTCCGTGTCCTCAGGGCCTAGTGCAGAGCCAGCCCTGGGAATTGGGTGTTGAATGAGTGAAGTGACCTGCCCTCAGTCACACAGAGCCAGATGCAGAGCCAGATGCAAACCAGGGCTCTTGCCTGCCTGCCCAGGGCTCTTCCCCCAGACCTGGCTGCTGTCTAGCCTAACCTGCCTTCTCCTGGAGACCGACGGAGGTCAACAGCACAGGCTCTGAGGTCTAGCACATTCACATCCAAATCCAGCTTCACCTCTCACCAGCAGTGACCACTTTGAGCCTTGGCTTCTCCACCAGCGAAAAGGACTATCATGGTACCTAGGTCACAGGACGGGAGGACTAGATGACATCATGCATGTGAATCCCTTCTCTCAGTGACCAGCACATACTTGGTGCTCAGTAAATAGCAGCTATTACTGTGACACATATTTTGTGCAAGTGGGTGGAGTGAGGAGGGATTAATTTGCCTCTGTCTTCAAATCCTTTCCCTGAGACACCCACTCACCCTCCCTTAACCCAAGACAGCCTGAGCCCTGCACAGGGCTGGACAAGGTTGTGCTCAGGTGAGGCCTTCCCATATATCTCCAGAGCTTCAGAACAATGACCTGAATTGCCCACTTACATGTCATCATTCCACCAACACGTAAGAAGCTGCTACTCTCTGCCAGGCCCTGGGTCAGGGCTGGAGATCCAGGAGAACTTGAACCTGTCCTGTCTTTGAAGACCATCCACCTGGCTGGTAAGATGAGGCCAGGTCACATGACTTTCCGATACACGGAAGCTGATGACAAGTCTTGTGGGAAGGGGAGCAAAGGGGCTTCCTCGAGGGGGATGCACTCCTACTCCAGCAGAGACTGCCAGAAGCTCACCCACATCCCTCCTCTCCTCTCCTTCCCAGGCAGCTGCTGGACTACATTTCCCGGTCTCCCCCACAAATTCGTGTGGCCACAAGACCCAGCTGTGGTGACTGAATGTGGGCTCAAGTGATGTGTACCCCTTCTGAGCCTGGCGCCTCAAAACCCCAAACACTCCTTAATCCTCTCTTCCTCTTCTGAATGGCTGGAATAAAAATGACCCCCAGGGCGACCTTGAGACCCACATATTGTAGATTTAGCCTAAGTCCAAGAAGGAGTGGAGAGTTGCCATCCACCCAGAATTGTTACCTGACCGAGAACTCTATTTCTGACTTACTTGCCTGGGGAGAGGGTGGGGAGAGGAGGAAGAGGAGTCTTCCAGGAGAAGCCCCCTCCCCTAGTAACCCATTGCCTCGGAGGAAAGACTGAGGAAGATGGCCCCAAGCCCTAGCACACCCCCTTCCAGCTTCCTTGGAACTGCCTGGGCACTTGGAGACCTGGAAAGGATGTCCCAGTGTGTGTGTGTGTGTGGGTGGGTGGGGGTGTTAGACCCAGCCGTCCCCCCAGATGGAGAGCACTGCTAAGCTGGGGCCTGGTCTGATTCTCGCTTGTCCACATGTATGAGAGCCATGGCTAGAAGTGGGGCAGGGTTGTTGGGGAATACCAGTTAGAGATCCCTGGGGTCCAGGCAGGGGGCAGGAATGGGCCAGACCCCCTTCAGCTGCAGGGTCAGAGCAGGACCCCTGGAAGTCAGTGGATAAGCAGATTAATGTTGCCAGACTGCAGGCCTGTGTCTAGAACTAGGGCTGGCAAGACGCAGCCAAATGCTCTTGCCCAAGGTAGAACATAAGCCCAGGTGGGGGGCGGGAACCACATCTCTCATGACTGAGTTAAGCCCATCTTTCTGAGGGCATGGACCACATGGGGGGCAAAATCAAAGTCTTGTGTCAGGGCCTCCTGACAGTCTGTCCCTCAGGTCTCAGGATGGACCACTCTCTACAGCCTCAGCACAACTCCTCCAGGGGGTCACTCACTCAGCCTGGTTCCAGAAGATCGGCTCCACTTTCGAGTTGGCCAGCAGGTGCGGACTGTAGCGCACCTCCACATACACCACGCCCTCCTTGGCCTTCATCTCAACAAACTCGTAGGCAATCCTCTTGATGGCCTCCCGGGAGCCCCTGGGAAGGGAAGAGAAGAGTTGGGGACAACCTTCCCCAAGAGTCTGTAGTCTCTCCTTGGGAGCTGTAGGAGCAACAAGGCTGTCCCCAACCCTTGGCAGATTAAAGCCACTTCTGGCCCCCAATCCTTCATCCCCAGCCCCAAGCTCTGGGCAGCCTCTGGAGAAGATCCTAGAAGCACAGCAAGTCCTGGCAGCTCTGCTTCCAAACCATATGCCAGTTCTCACCCTTCCACACTGGTTCCAACCACCTCCTCTCTAACTGGCCCCCCATCTCCACAATTGCCTCTAACCCTGCTCTCCGCCCAGCAGCCGGAGCAAACTCTTAAAAATCTAAGCATATTGCACCTCCACTCTGAACCCTAATGGCTCCCCACCACCTAGAGTGAAACCCCAACTCCGTGGCCCAGCCCACAGGCCTAGACAATCCAGCCCTGCCCACCTCCCTAGCACCTTCCAGCTCACTCATTCCTTGAGGCCACCAGAGCCCTCTTTCTGTCCCAGGAAAGTCAGGCTTGTCCCCACGTCAGGGCCTCTGTGTTTGCAGCTCCCCTGGCCTGCATGTTTTTCCCCCAGATCGTCCTGTCCTCTTCGCCTCCCTCCATTTAGATCCCAGCTCTAGCATCACCTCCTCAGAGAGGCCTTCCCGGACAACCTTATCTTAAAGCGGCCCCTCCACCATTCTCTACCCCTTCCCCCAGGGCTTTCGTTTTCTCAGTGGCCCTCATCACCAGTGACATTACATATCACATGGGTTTCTTTATTGGCTGATTTTGCATCTCCCCTACTAGAATGTAGCCTATGTGAGGCAAGGACCCCCCATCCGTCTTGTGGTGGCTATGACCCCTGAGCCCAGGACAGAACCCAGGATGTGGTCGCCAAATATTTGTTGAGTGATGGATGTAGGCCAGCAGGAAATAGAAATAAGAGAAAAGGACACACAGTAGCAACAAAAACAAAAATAGGCAAGTGGGATTGCATGAAACTAAAAAGCTTCTGCACAGCAAAGGAAACAATCGACAGAGTGAAAAGGCAACCTTTAGGGGAAAATATTTGTAAACCATCTATCTGATAACGGGTTAATATCCAAAATATATAAGGAACTCAATGGCAAAAAACTAAATAATCTGATTAAGAAATGGGCAAAGGCCCTGAGAATAGACATTTCTTAAGAGAAGACACCCAGTGACCAACAGGAATATGAGACCGTGCTCAATCATCAGGGAAATGCAAATCAACCACAATGAGATATCACCTCACACCTGTCAGAATGGCTATTATCAAAAAGACAAGAGATAACAAGTATTGGTGAGGATGTGGAGAAAGGGGACCCCTTGTGTACTGTTGGTAGGAAAGTGAACTGGTGTAGCCACTACGGAAAACAGTCTGGAGGTTCCTCAAAAAATTTAAAAAAGAACTACCATACACTCTAGCAATCCCACTTTTGGGTATATATCCAAAAGAAATGACATCAGGATCTTGAAGTTATCTGCACTCTCATGTTCACTGCAGTATTATTCACAATGGCTGAGATGTAGAAACAACCTAAGTATCCGTTAACAAATGAATGGATAAAGAAAATATGATACACACACACACATGGGAACACTGTTCAGCCCTTCCTGCCGTTTGCACCAACATAGCTGGACCTGGAGGACATTATGCTAAGTGAAATAAACCAGACACAGAAAGACAAATACTGTCTGATCTCACTTATAAATGGAATCTAAAATAGTCAAACTCATAAAAGCGGAGAATAGAGTGGTGGTTGCCAGGGGCTGCGGGGAGAGGGAAACTGGGAGAGGCTGGTCAAAGTGTATGAACTTTCAGTTACACAAGATGAGTAAGTTCATGAGATCTACTGCATGCTGACTCTAGTTAACAATACTGTAGTGTATACTTGAACTTGCTAAGAGGGTAGATCTTAAGCCTTCTCACCACACACACAAGGTAACCACGTGACGTGACGGATATTAACCAGCTTGATTGTGATCATTTCAGTGTATATGTATATCAAAGCATCAAGTTGTACACCTTAGGTATATACAGTTTCTATTTGTCAATTATACCCCAATAAAACTGAAAAAGAGAGAGAAAAGCACACAGATGGACAACCCAGAGGGAACTCTGAGTTGAGGGAGACCTGGGACTCAGACTTTTAATAAAGCCTGAGTGGTTTCCCACTAAGTGGTTTCCCTAAATGTGGTTCCCACATTTATTTGCTGTGTGACTCCTGGTCTGTTAGTCACCCTCTCTGACACCTACATCAAAGGATTATTGTGAGGACAAATGAGTTAAATCACTTAAAACTCACCCAGGCCAGTGCTTGGAGCAGAGCAGACAAATGCTCAAAGTATTTTAGTTGCTACTCCTGCGTGTTGGCTCCAGAAGCAAGACACAGATTAACCTGCAAGGGCTACCATGAGTGTTGATCAAATGACAGTGGGGCCTGCCTCGCTGGAAGTTTCCAAACCGAAGAGGAGAACGGAATGGTTACTAGGACACAGCGGTGTGAGGGAGGGCGTGCAAGTGCTCCGAGAGCCCAGAGTGGGAAGAAAGTGCCCCGTGCTGGGGAACCGGCCTCCCAGGAGGAGGGTCATTGGAAGCACCCCTGCGGATGAGGATGAGGCAGCTGCAGCCTCTCCAGCGGGGAAAGTCCTGGGGGCGGGGTCAGGGCCTGGACCCTGGGCCTCAGCCCTGCTGCAGGGCAGCTGGTGCCCACTCTCCTTCCCAGACACCTGTGGCCTGACCTTCCCCTCAGCTGTGAGGCTCAGTCATTCCACACTGTGGCTGGCACTGTCCCAACCAAGGTGACAAAAATCCCTGCCCTCAGGAGCCTACAGTCTAGCAAGAGAGACAGGCAAGTAAATAAGTAAAATATAAAATATACAGTAGGTCAGATGGTGAAATGTTCTGTGGATACCAATAAAGCAGGGGAGGGGGTCCAGAAGAGTGAGTGGGAAGGGAGTGTGATTTTCAGTAGTACAGTCAGGGAAGGCATTTGAGCAGAGATGTGAACGAGGAGAGGAAGCAAGCCATGGGACATCTACCGGAACAGCATTCCAGGCAGGGGGCACAGCAAGCACAGAGGACCTGAGGTCAGGGGTACGCTCAGTGTCCAAGGGGCCACAGGAGGCTGATGAGAGGAGAGAGGGGAGAGCAAAGGGGTGAGTGGCAGGAGATGAGGGCTCTCATCTGACACCTGTGGATGGTGGCAAGGGGGTGGGGAGGCCAGAGTCTCGCAGGCTGTGGCCCCAAGGCCAGGCAGCTCTGAAGGAAATGATGTCTAAGGGCCTGGCCAGTGCGGGCCTTCGGGAAGCTGGGCCTCTCCTGTCTTGTGTCCAGAGAGACAGGAGCTACCTCGGGGGTGGCGTGGGAGAGGAGCCTCTGCTGTACAGGACCGGCCTGGATGTACGTTCTGGTGGGGGTGTCGGGGGAGAGGCGGCAGGGAGGCAGCACGCCTGTGCCAGTGTGTCTGCTTACCAGGGCCAAGGATGGGGGCAGGCAGTGCCCTCCTGGCTGAGCCCCAAAGCTTCCAGCAAGAAGCCAGCAGCCTTGGCGCACATCATCCTTCCCCAGGACTCCTCATACCTGTCCTGCCACTTATCTAGCCAACAGCCTCCATCTGCTCACACACCCTCACTGGTCCTCCAACCACCCATGCTTGGGCCATCCTCCAAACCTTTCCTCAGGCCTAACCCTCCGGACAATATCACACCCTCTCCATCCCAAGGCCCAGGCCACACTTCCTCCTCCAGGCAGCCTTCCCTGACTGCTCCCAGCCCCTCGACCTCTTTCCCCTCCTGAGCTCCTGCAGCACTGACTGCCAAGGCCCGATGCTCGCCTGCCTTGGGAAACTGCCTCATGCCAGGAAGCTCAAGGTGGCACTGGGGCAAGAATCTGGGCTCCACTCCTTGCCAGCTGTGTGGTCCCAGGCAAGCTCCTTCACTTCTGTGAGCCTTGATTTCCTCCTCCGCAAATGAGGAGTATGTCCACTTGGCAAGCCTGCTGACAACTACAAGAAGTATAATTCTGTGAGCTCTAAGTCTATTATATTCTCCTATACATAAGAGATATTCTGTGATTAAAAAATGGAAGGAATGAGGGGTAATATGAAAGCAGTAGTGCCAGGCTGTCACCAAAGGACGCAACTGTCGTCACAGTAAGAGGGGCTTGCTGAGAACAGTGTCTGTTCCAAACCCCAGCCCTCGGAGGAAGGTAGGACCACAAGCCCATTGTCGAGATGAGAGAACTGAGGCCCAGAGAAGGGAAATGTGCCCAACCACACAGCTATTTCTGATAGCTGAGTCTGATACTAGGATCTGTGTTCTCAGCTCCACATTCTGTCACTTCTCTGTAGAAGTTGAAGGAATTTCAGTCCATCACACCTACTTTCCAGAAAGGAAAACCGATGTCCAAAGGCATAGAGAGATTCGCTCAAATATACACAATAGTATATTGGTGAGAAGCAGAGCTGGGGTTTCAGAGCACCTGCTCCCACCCACGGGCTGAGGTGCAGGCCTGGGGCTGGCAGCCTCCCACAGGCAGAGGGACTAGCGCTGCCCAGGGCCTGGGGGTGGGCGACTCACGCGATAGCTGGCATGTAGTAGTTGAACTTGGCCAGGAATTCTGGGAGGCTGAGCGGCTCGTCCATGCCGATGATGTTCCGCAGCTCCTCAGCTGTGTCAGCAGGGAGGGGGACGCCCCTCTTCCTGGAGACAAAACAATGAGGGTGGTGGGCTGCCCCTGGGAAGGACCCAACAGACCCACGAGCCCAGCCTCCTCGGAAGAGCAAGGCAGGAGACAGGGATCTCTCCACCCAACCCCTCCCAGTGGGCAGATGGGAAAACTGAGGCCCAGGGCATATAGAACCAGGACCAGAATCCTTCCAGCACCTCCTGTCCCCAAGACTACCACCAGCCAGCAAATCTCAGGGGGGACACACAGGGATTAAAGTTCATTTGTGCATGTGAACACACACACACACACACCCCTGGTGCCTGGGGACAGGGAAGGTGCCAGGAAAAGTGCACCACTTCCTCTTCAGCCCCAGGAGTGGGGAGAGCCGGCTGGTCCTATGCCAGGTCAGGGGTTATCAGGGGTATAACTGCAGCACGCCGTGCCCGGGACACGCGCTGGCGCCAGACCGCCCTCCTCTGCCCTCCCTCTGGCCCGCACATCAGAGAGCCCCGCCTAGCCCAGCGTGCCGGGAGAGAGCCGGGTGGCTTGGCCGTCACCTCAGGGCTCTCTCCCCTTCCTGCCCACAGCCTCCCACATGGAGCTGGACCTCGGCCATCACTCGGGAAGGGCTTTCCCAGAACAGCCCTCTGGCCTCGAGCCTCCTTCCTGCCATCAGCATCTCTGCCTCCCCGCCAGCTGGGGCAGCAGGCGCGGGGCTGGGCTGGCTCCCCCTCCTGCATGCTCCAGCCTCTGCTGCTCCTCCCGGCTTTTCCCTGATTCACGGGTCACCCTGGGCCTCAGTTTCCCCACTTTTAAGATAAAGGCACAGGTAAAGAACGCCCGACGCTGAAGAAGTGCTTCTACCATGAGGGACAAGAGACGAAAGGGACTCTGGGGAAATGAATGATGAGAGAACAGAAGACCCTAAAACAAACACCCTCAAGAGGACGAGAAGATGGTACATCCTTAAAACACCACCACCCCTTTTTAAAAAGGGGACATTCCGAAGGTAAGAAAGAACTCTTGGAAATTTAAAAGAACACGGCAGCAACCATCAGGATCTAATAAAAGGAATGGACAATAAAGGTGAGAAGATCCTCCAGCAAGTAGAAAAAAGACAAGATAAAAAAATAGGAGAAGATGGTTAAAGTCAGAGGATTAAATCAGGAGGTTCAAGCATCCAGTTATCCAGAAGATCCAAAGACGGAAAGGAGGAAATCGCCAAAGAAATGGAAGTTTGACTGAATAGTGTTCGAGTCCTTTCATAGCTTCTGTTATTAAAACGCGAGGATGTTTCCCTGCATGAATACCTGTTCCCTAAGCCCCCAAAGTCTGCCCCCTTCCCCTCTGGTGGCTCCAGGCCCTATGATGCCCAGTAGGCACCACCGAGGGGTCACCCTGGTGCCTACCAGTCAGCCCACCATGGTTCCTCTCTGGTCCCCCATCCCTGCCATCCCCATCATGGGAGAGATGGTGGCCCTGGTATGGTCCTGGCACCCAGAGGTCAGATGCTCAGTGCCCACCCTGCCCCAAAGATGCCCTCATGCGGCTGTCCCCAGTAACCGTGGCCGCTGCAGAGCCTGTCCCAGTTGTTAAACACCATAGTTTGAACATCTTTCTGGCAGCCCGTGGGTGGAAGGCAGAGGAGGTGACATGAAGGCTCTGGCTCCCATATTGTCAACCACGTGGCCACATCTGCCTTGGGCCCACTGGACCAGCTATACGTGATTCTCCCGATGGTCTTCCTCCAGTTCTCGTGACCCCACTGCTCCTGGTGGGGCTCCTCCTCTGACCATTGTCTCCCAGACTCTTCCTTTTACTCTTCCTGCCCAGATGAGCTCATCTCCCGTCATGGATTTCAACCGAGGATCCAGAGGTCCACAGCTTCCAACTGTCTGCCTCTACACACCAGTGTGAGAGGGCCTATGATATGCTGGGCAGTGGATGGATGGCAGCGACTCAGACAGACCCGGGCGTCTGACCACCTCAGAAGGGCAGGCGGCTCGTGCCACCTTTCCCCTCCCACTCCCAGGCTCCACATTTCCTCCATCCACCCAGCTGCCCAGACCAGAGACGGGGCCTCCCTCAGACTCCATTTCCCTCGCCCACCAACAGCCAGACCCCAAATCCTAATTATTTTCCTTTCTAAATATTTCTCCCATTAGTCTCTTCCTCTCCAACCTCTCTCAACAAACCACCAAGAAAGATCTTTTCACCACACAGAGTGGCCTGGGAAGGCCTCTTGGAGGAGGCAACGTTTAAGCAGAAGAGCTAGAAGGGAAAGGAGAAGAAGGGACCGGGAGGAAGGTTCCTGGCAGGGGAAGAGCCTGTGCTAAGGGCTCCAGGCAGGGATTCCTGAGGGAATCGGAGGGCAGGGCAGGGCAGGGTCAGTGGTGGATGATGGGCCAAAGGGCAGGCAGGGCTAGACACTGGGCCTCACAGGAGCTGGGACTTTCTCCTGAGAGCACCTGGAAGCCGCTCAAGGATTTTAAGCACGGGAGCAGCATGGAAAAGTTTACTTTAAGAGCTCCTCCTGGCTGCCGTGTGAGGGACAGATCGGAGGGAAACCAGAGCAGAAGACAGAGAGTTACCGCAGTGGTCCCACTAAGGACAAATAGCACAGACTCTCTCCAGCGTGACACAGGACTTGGCCTCCGGAAGCGGCTCAGGCTGCGTTGTAAGGCTCCTACCCGGGGCCCAAAGTTGAGGCAGGAAGGACTTGTTCCAGGGCTCTGAGCCCTGCTGCCACCACAGCCTCTCACAGCTGAGGCTCCTCTGGGGCCACGCTCAGCTCTTGGATGGTCCCTACTCCCCCGCTCAGCATAGCCACGCCCCGGGGCACTGCCCTGCCCCCTCCCCGCCTTGATGGGGAAGTGGGTTCTGGTACCACAGTATCACATGGGCGATGCTCCTACAAGGAGCCCAGTGGGCAGGATAAGCCCAGGCTTTGGAGTTCCAAGTCCATCTCCCTCCTGTCTGTGCCATATCACCCCAGGCAGGAGCTCTCCCCTCTGAGGACCTCCACGTCCCTGTCAGTAAAACTCAGTATTTCCTTTGCAGGGTAGAGAGAGGAAGAAATGACGCTACTTATGTGTCCTGGGAAAGACAGCAGACTCGTAAAGCCTGGGTTTGAATCCCAGCTCTGTTATAAAGGCTGTGAGACCTTGGGAAAGTTACCCAACCTGTTTACTAGGTCTGGCATGTATGAGAAACAGCTGGTGTGGACTGAGCACGGAGTAGTAGAGGAGGTCAGAGGTAACGTGGGTTTTGTAGGACCTTAAGGGCCATGTGCAGACTTGGGCTTTGACCCTGAGCAAGACGGGAGTGTGAGGGGGTTTTGAACAGTGGAGTGAGCTGATCAGACAGTGTTTTAAGACAACTGTTCTGACTACAGTATTGTGGGGATGACAGAGGGGGGAGACCAGAGTGGACACCTGGAGACCAGTCAGGAGGCCACTGTAATAGTTCAGATGAGGGACGCTGGTGGCTCAGCCCAGGGTGGTGACAGAGAAGACAGAGTGACCAGATTCAGAACGTGCTTTGGAGAAGGAGCTGACAGGGTCGTGAAGGAGACTGAGAAAGAGGCAGGAGAAGGCCCCGGGGAGGGTGGAATCACAGGAGCTGAAGGAAGAAAGGAGTGAGAACAGTCACCTGAGGCCCATGTCAGAGGCAGAAAAGGGGCCACTGGATTTGGCTGGGGGTGGAGGGGTCAGAGGCCAGCTACACCCCTCCTTCCCCTCCCAGCCCCCGCCCCCACCTGGGCGTCCTCCAGCATGTTTGCGGGTGTCCATATCTGAGTCTGACCACCTCCCAGGTCCCCTGCCTGCTGACCTCGAGATCCAACTCCAGCTGGCGCCCACCTCCCTTCTCCAGGGCCTGGACTGCTCTGGAGACACCAAGGCGACATGGAAAATAGGAAATCTGACCGGCCGCCCCACACTGGCATCTCCTTTCCCTCTTCCCTCCGCTCCGCCCCGACATTCTCGCCTTCTTGCCCCGCTCATGAGTGCTCTCTGACCCCTAACAAGCACAGCGATTAGATCCCATCTTGGCGCCCAGTAACCTGCCCTAATGGCCTCGTTAGGGGCCTGCAGCAATGGCTGGCGGCTTCACATGGACAAAGGACAGGCAGAGATAAACCAAGCGGCTTCATCCCAGTTAGCCAGAGCCATAGGTCATAATTAATAATATCATCATCTAATATCATCATCGTTAAGTGACATTTGTAGATCATAGCGGGCTCGGCCCTGGGCTGTTTTTCCTACATTACTTCACCTAAACCTCTAGCTGGCAAGGGTAAGGGTCAGGGGTATGGACTCGGGGTCACACCTGTGCTTAGAGGACAAGTAACTTCGCCTATCATGACTCAGTTTCCTTGTCTATAAAATGGGGACAATTACAGTACCTACCTCACAAGTTGGCATGAGGATTCAGTTAAGTTAACCCGGGTACAGCACTTAAAGCAATGCTTGGCACGCAGTAAATGCTAATATTCTTATACAGTTAAACAAACATTAAATCAATTGAAGCTTCCTAGAGCAAGAAAAGGTCACTGGAAGTACGACGAGATGGAGAAAAGTATTCTTGGCACAACTCTGTCAGGGAGTCGGAAGAGATGCTCCTGGGAGTTGGGGGCAAACTCCCAAGGGTCACCAGTTCCCTTCTGAGGAGCAGGTGTCTGGATCACGGAGGCGATTCTGGTTTACGGAGCAGGGCGTTCAAATCTGGGTCCAGAGCTGAACTGCTCAAGGCAATGAGGAAGACGTGGAGTCCCCCCAGCTCCAAACAAGACGAATGTTGGGCGACTATGTGAAGGCCAGTCTACCGAGGGAAGGGTGGGGTGACAGGAGGGCCCCCCTCTCCCAGGGCAGCTCTGAGGAAGGCCCTATTCTTACTCTCAACCTACAGAGGTGAAGGTCCCAGCGAGGAAACAGAATGTCCAGATTTGAATCCAGACTCACCTGGTCCCCAAGTCTCTGCTCTTAAGGGCTGGACGCAAGACAGGGGCCATCATGAGCCCTTGGGGCGGGGGAGGGAGGGGCGGACCTCCTTCACCGGAGGGCGCTGGGGACCCTTGGGCCCACCAGCATCCACGAGAGCCAAGGCAAGAGATGCATTCTCATTTGGAAGATGAGGGGTTTGGGCCCAGAGAGGGGAGCCTCTTCTCCACGCCTCCCAGCAGGTTATCACCGTGACGATGCAGGGAAAGCTTTGGGGGTCAGACGATGTCAGTCACTCGACCAAATATTTCCTTGTCCTGTGGCCTTGGGCAACTGCCTTCACTCCTGAGCCTGCTCTCTCCTCAGTGCAATGGAGACGCAACACCGGCCTCCACCAGGTGTGGAGGGATTAAAGTTGCTGACTCAAGGAGAAGGCCCAGCCCAGCACTAGACGGTCAGCAAATGGTACCCGCATCCGTGTGGGTGCGTCACCTGCCGCAGGCTCTGGGCCAAGTCAAAAAACAGTGACAAATTCAGCCCTGGGAACCGCCTCCACGTGTGTGTATGTGTACGCACAAGGTGGGGCAAGCTCCTCCTGACTCACTTGGCAGCAGGAGGCCAAGAGTCCAAGGCACAGAAGGCAGAAGACTGGGGCTGTGGGTCTCCAGCTCAGAGGCCTCCTTGTCCCCACTGACTCCCCTTCTGGCCAGGGGCTGGCTTGATTCCACAGGGACACAGAAGGAACAGCGACCCTGGAATTCTCCAGAGGCTTCTTGGTCAGACTGTGGACCCCGCCCAAGTCCTGGGGAGGAAGGCCTCTTATCCACGGACTCACCTGCCATAGTATAAGATGGTTTCGGGCTTGATGGCTCCATCTAGGTGGACATGCAGCTCCACCTGCAAGGAGACAGAGGGAAAAGTGAGAGGGAAGAGCCCTCACTGCCATGAATGCCTGAAGGAACTTGCAGAGGGTTAGTGTTAACACGAACCGTCACAACCACCAGTCACCACTTACAGGTCACCTCACATACACCACTAAACTCTTCATACACCATCGTGTGTAATCCTTGTCTGTGGGGTGGCTTTAATTGTAATCTCTATCTTTCACAGCTGAGACCAGTGAGGTTTAGACACAGCAAGCAAGTAATGGAAGCAGGAACCCAACCCAGTGCCTCTGTTCTCCACCACAGCTGGTAAGTGACAGAACGGGAATTCTAACCCCAGCCCAATTCCGAAGCTGGTAGTCTTAAACAGGAGGCCGGGCCTGGTCCCGTAGGGCCTACTGAGCCCCAGCCACCACGCAGGCCAATCCTGCTCTCAGCCAACTCGCTAAACAAAATCTAACTTGAATAAAAAGGGTTGACCAGACTTCCTGGACTAGTCATTACCCACAATGCATTTTAAAAGTCAGGCTCCATTTTCAAAAGCAGGTGTTACTTAAGCATGCTTATCAGGAATCAGTATTAGGCTACCCAGATCTTTCCAGTGCTCTAGAAAGGGCACTAGATCCTTGGCCATCTTGGTGATCATTTCCCACGTGCTCAGCCCCACGACCACTACTCGGCACACAAAGCCAAGAGTCTTAGGACAGGGGCTTTAGAGACAACCTGTCAGGCTTAGCTCCCAGCTCTGCCCCTTCTCTGGCTGTGTGATCTTAGACATGACACTTGATCTCTCTGAGCCTATTTCCTCAATGGAAAAACAACAGCAAAGATCGCCTCCCCATCCAAGAACAATTGCAAGGCTTTAAAAACACAATATAGGTGGACATGTGTGGCCCACAGGAAACAGCCAGGTGTTTTCCATGAGCTGTTAAGAGAAGCAAGCAGACAATGGGAGACAGTGGGAAAATGACTGCCATCTGCCTGTTCCAGGTCACGGAGGAAATGTTCCCCGGCCAGGGGGAGATCCAGAAAACTCGCAACTGACATCTCCATCAGGGTGGGGCCTTCTCTGGAACTTGGGGATCTGGACAAGAAAGTGGCTGCCGTGGCTGGGGAGGAAAGGAGTGGCCACGGAGCTGGTGGCCCAAGGGCACCCTGGGAGCACCTACATGACCTGCCTCCTGCAGAGGAAACCCAGCCCGGGTCCACGGGACGCCACAGGGACAGAGCCACCAAGCCCTCCACTCAGCAGGACATCCGAGTCATCAGATCCCTCTGGAAGTCATCCAGCTGGCAAAGGACGGAGTGGCACGCACACCCAGACTTGGAATCAAGTTAGTCATTGGATTCTCTGACAAAATGAGTTCAGTGCCCACCCAGCCAAGTGTTGACTGCGTTCTCAAAAACTGCTCAGCATTGGGAACAGTGAAGCTTCCAGTGCAGGGAACCGCCAACCAGCTGCGCGACCTTGGAGGGGTGACCTCACATATCTGAGCCTTCATTTTTGTATCCTTAACCTTTGCATGGCTGTGGGGAGGATCTGGCCAGAGAGGCAGGGTAGCATTGTGGTTAGAGCTGGAATCCGGCTCCTCCACTCGCTCCCTGGGTGACGTGGAGAACGTTACTTCACTTTCAGTGCTTTGGTGTCCTCATCTGTCCAAGGGGAGGACACCGTGCCTTCCTCCTAGGGCTCCTTGGGGCTGAACCGTGTTAACGCATGTGCAGTCACGGTGGCTTAATGACGGGATACGTCAAGTCATTCCCACCTTAAAAAGACAATTCTCTTGACCCACAGAAACCTCCAGCCCCCTCCCAGGCCCCTTCTTCCTCTTCAGGAGTAAAATTCTTGGAAGAATAGTCTAAACTTTCTCTATTTACTTAGGTCCACCTATTTCTTGCCCTACCCACTGTGGATTCTGCCCCCTTGGGCTCTGGAATCGTTCCTCTAGGGCAGTGGATCTCAACCTTGGCTTCATGTTCTGTGTCTATGTGTGTGTCTTTTCTTTTTGTTAAGAAGTGGATTATTTAAAACAAAACACGTGCGCCCAGGCCCACCTCCAACGATTGTGCTTTACTGACGTGGGGTAGGCCCAAGCATGGGTAACTTTCCAAAGCGTCCTAGGGCAGCTGGGTTGATAACCACTCCTTTGGGGTCCCAGTGCCCAGTGGTCTTAGCCCCAGGGACGTGTTTCTGCTCTCCTTTTTTTTTTTTGCTGAGGAAGATTTGCCCTGAGCTAACATCTGTGCCAATTCTCCTCTATTTTGTATATGGGTCGCTGCCACAGCATGGCCACCGAGTAGTGTAGGTCTGCACCTGGGATCCAAACCCAGGCCACTGAAGCGGAGTGTGCCAAACTTAACCACTAGGCCATAGGGCCAGGACTGTCTCTCCTACTTCTTCACCTCTGGCAGGAACCAAATGTATTAGTTTCCTGTAGCTGCTGTAACAAATTACCACACTGGGTAGCTTAAAACAGAAACATCTCACAGTGCTGGCAGCCAGAAGTCCAAAATCAAGGTGTCAGCAAGGCTACGTTCTGAGAAATATGTCGCTAGGTGATTTTGTCATTGTGCCAACATCGTAGAGTGTACTTACACAAACCTAGATGGGGTAGCCTATTGCACACCTAGGCTCTATGGTACTAATCTTATGGGACCACTGTCGTGTATATGGTCCATCCTTGACAGAAATGTCATTATGTGGTGCATGACTGTCATGTGCCTAGACCAGCCTTAGCATGTGGCAAGTGCTACAGAAGCATCAACCAAGAATCCTTCATTCACCAAACTGTTGAGGCCCTGCTGGGTGCTAGGAATGTAGAGGTAAGCTAAAGGATCCTGCTCCCGTGACATCTACAGCCCAGCAAGGGAGAGGGATGTTCAGTGTCACATTGATAAACGTACAATCACGAGCCAAGACAACCCCTCAGGAAGCGCACACAGTCCTGTGGAAGAGATAACAAACCAAAGAACTTAACCCAGCTCGCAGGCCAACAGTTACTTCCTGGAGAAAGTAGAGCTTGAGCTAAGAGCTGAAGGATGAGGAGCCAAGGAGGCAGAGGCAGAGGCGAGGAGGAGGCGGGAAGAACATTCCAGGCAGAGGGAGCAGCGTGTGCAAAGGTTGTGTGGTGGGAGAGAATGTGCTGGGCGAGAGGAACTGAAATATGGGTTCAAAGAATGGAAGGGTCATGGGGCTGGAGAGGCTGCAGGGCCATCCGGGCAGGGCCTCGAGGAAGAGTTAGGTTTTATCCTGAGCACGCAGAGAAACCACAACAAGGTTTGAAGCTGAAAAGGATGACTTGCAGCAAGACCAGTGAGCCTCCCGCAGGCAAGCTTATGAGTGATGATGGTGCCTTGGACCAGGGTGCGAGGCAGATATGGAAACGCAGGTGGACAGAGGTGTCCAAGATGATGCTTCAGGCTGGACCTGAGCGGGTAGTGACTCCCACACTCTGAGACAGAGAACACAGGAAGAAGACCAAGTGCAAAGGGGGTCATGAGAGGTGAGGGCGTGGGGAGAGGCATGATCAGTTTGATCTTAGTTACGTTAACCTGGGATGCCTTTGAGACCTCCAAACGTCAAGGGGCCAACAGATGAGAGGGTCTGGAGCTCTCAGGGAGACCGAGGCTGCAGACGTAATAGGAACGTGGATAATGGAGGGTGTGGTCTTGAGTGAGCTCACCCAGGAGAGAGCGTCGAGGAAAGGGTCTGGGACGAAGCCTTGACAAGAGCCAGCACCCAGTGGCGTTACAGAGGAGGGGAGCCCTGAGAAGAGCCGCCAGAGAGGTGGGAGGGACACCGGGAGTGTAGGGTTTGCAGAAGGCAAGGGGCCATCGGGTTTCAATGAGGAGCAGCAGCCCACCAGTCGGTGTAGAGGGCTGAATGGGAGCCCCCCAAAAGATGTCTATGTCCTAATCCCCAGAACCTGTATTACCTTAAGTGACAAAAGATGTGATTACACACACACACACAAACACGAACACACAAGAGGAAGCAGCAATGTGACCATGGAGGCAGAGTGGAGTGATGTGGCCACAAGCCAAGGAACACCTGGGGTCATCAGAAGCTGGAAAAGGCAACGAGTGGATTCTCCCCTAACGCCCTCAGGAGTGTGACCCTGCTGACACACTGATTCTGGACTTCTGGCTGCCAGAACTGTGAGAAAATAAGTTTGCTGTTTTAAGCCACCCAGTGTGTGGTAATCTGTTACAGCAGCTACAGGAAACTAATACAGTCATTTCCTGCCAGAGGTGAAGAAGTAGGAGACCAGAAACACGTCCCTGGGGCTAAGACCACCGGACAGTGGGACACCGGAGGAGTGGTTTTCAACCTGGCTGCCTGATAGGAGCTCCCGGGAAGCTTCGGAAAGTTGCCGATGCCCGGGCCCACCCCAGGCCAATTAAATCCCACTCCTCCGAGGTGGGCCCAGGCATAGGCTGGTTTTACTTTCATTTTTTTTAATCCACTTCAAAAACAAAAACATGAAGCCAAGGTTGAGAACCACTGCCCTAGAGGAACCGTTCCAGGGGCCAGAGGGGGGTTCTCACCAGAGGGGTGAGAACCCATACTGGAGTAGGGTAAGAAATGGAGAGAGTTTCGATTATTCTTTCAAGAATTTTGCCCCTGGAGGGGAAGAAATGGCCTGGGTGGGAGTTGGAGGTGTCTGTGGGTCAAGAGAATTGTGTCTTTTTAAGGTGGGAATGACTTGAGCATGTTTAAACATCGACAGGGAAGATTGCAGTTGGGAGCAGAGCTGTGTGACGTCACTGAGCAGCTAGGAGGGGTTAGAAGGTGAGAACCAGCCCTGGCCGCGGAGCCCCAGAGTAGGAAAGTCAGGCAGTGAACCAGGACGGTTGTCCTTGCTGCTTTGCCCCCTACGGGTGGGTGGGCCTGTGAGGCTACTTCTGGCCAAAGCATTAGATGCCAATGCAAGACCCCCCAGAGCCCTCTCTTCACTCTGGCACAGCAACTGGCAATGTTCAGGATGGCGGGCGGGCACCCATCTGCCTGGG